TCAATGGGTAATATTGCTTCCATACCATACACCAATGAGTGCGAGGTCATGCTAGTAGGAGTCTTCTCAGTTGTCTGGTAGGTCCATAGCACGTCATTTAGCTTTTCGTGCCAATCTTTACCACTTGCTATTATTTCGTCTATAATTTTGAGAAGTCTTTTATTTGTAACCTCTGCTTGTCCATTTCCTTGAGGATAGTAAGGTGTGGAGAATTTATGAGTTATCCCAAACTTTTTACACACTTTAGAGACTTTTTCATTTTTGATATTAGATCCATTGTCAGCAATGATTGACTCAGGAATACCGAACCTGAATACAATATTGTTCTTTATGAAACGGGCAACATGTTGTCCCTCAATTTTGACAAATGATGCGGCCTCTACCCATTTGGTGAAGTACTATGTAGCCGTTAATATAAAATAGTGGTCGTTTGAGGCTTTCAGTGAGATCATTCCGATGATATCAAGATCCCACATGGCAAAGGGCAATACAAGCGGTGTTCAGTTGAATGGTACGGACGGTGCATGGATGAGGTCTCCATAAAGATGACATTTGGGACACCTCTTTATGAACTTCCACTTCCAACAATCTTCAGCCATGGTGGTTGGTGCCTGATTTTCTGAGCTAAGGCGGCTGTGCTAGAATGACCTCTTTCAATGTGTAACTCTGTCAGTACTTGGTCGATTTCTGACTGATCAAGACACTATAGAATGATGCCATTGAAGGACTTTTTGAACGGGAGATCACCTCTTACTAAGAATCTCATAGAAAACCTTCGAAGGGCTTCTTTATCCTTTTTTATGGCTCCTTCAAGCTGTAACTCATCTTTCAGCAAGGACAAAACATCGTGGAACCATGGTTTTGCCTTAACTAGCGCATATAAAGCCATAAGAGACACTTCCCCATCGTTCTCATTTTCTTGCTCTATTTCTTATTCGATCCTTGGTGGGGAAGGTTCATGGTTGGTCCTGATATAGAATGGTAGCGTGGCTATTTTTAGAGGAATATCAACCATTGAAGCAAGGGTCACAAGGGCGTTGGCCAATCAATTATTTTCTCTAGTTACATGTTGAAAGGTGACTTTCTTGAAAGATGGGATCATCTTTTCCACCTATTCTTGATAGGGCTTGAGCTTTCCTTCTTTCACCTTCCAAATCTCTTGAACTTGGTTTATGACGAGTAAGGAGTCACCAATTATTCGTATTTGTTTGATTTTCATTCACATAACGTTCTCAAGCTCGGCTATCAAGGCTTCATATTCAACAATGTTATTGGTACATGAGAAATTCAATTTGATGGTTGTTGGCATTAAAATCTTCTCGGGTGAGTATAGTATGACTCCTATACCCTATTCATATTCATTCTTTACACCATCGAAGTATAGATCCCAAATTGATTTGTCAATTGTGAAGAGGTTCTCATCAAGGAGATCCGTGTTACCGGGAGTGTTATCTGGCAGTGAGTATTCAGCTAAGTGGTCAGCAATGGCTTGTCCTTTGATTAATTTTTGAGTAACATATTTGATCTCAAACTCGCTCAATAACATTCTCCACTTCGCCAAACGTCCGTTCAGGACTGGTCTCTCCAATAGGTACTTGAGTGGGTCCATTTTTTAGATGAGCTTGACTGAATGAAATAAGACATAGTGTCTTAACTTCTGTATGGCCCACACAAGCGTCAAGCAATGCCTCTCCACATCAGTGTATCTTGTCTCATAGTTCACCATAATCTTGCTGATGAAGTACATCGTTTGTTCTTTACCACAACCATTGTATTGTCCTAACATTGCCCCATGGTCTTGTCTCTCACTAACATGTATAGGAACATGGGTTTGTCTGGACTAGAAGGATTAAGGATGAGAGGTTTAGTGAGGTACTTCTTGATTTGATCAAATGCTTCATAGCACTCATTATCCCATATGAATGGGATATCTTTCTTGAGTAGTCTATTAAACAGCACGCACTTGGCTGCTAGTTGTGAGATGAAATGCCTTATGGCTTGTATAAGACCTTGCAGCCCCCGAATTTCTCTGATGTTCTGGGGAGAGGGAATTTCAGTGATGACTCGTATTTTGGACGGGTCCACCTCAATGCCTCTTTGGCTTACTATAATGTCTAGTAATTTGGAGGATTCAACCCCAGGCATATTTTTGCAGATTGAGTTTGAGCTGATGTTTCCGGAGCCTTTCGCAAATGGTTCTTTAGTTGGTGAGATGATCAGGCCTGGTCTTTGACTTGACCAGAATGTCATCGACATAGTCTTCCATGATGGTGTGCATTAAGTCATAGAAGATGCTAGTCATTGCCCACTAATAAGTTACCTCTACATTTTTTAGGCCGAAGGGCATGACTTTGTAACAGTAAGTTTTCCATTGCGTTATGAACGAAGTCTTGGTCCGGTCTTCTTCTATCATGAAGATCTGGTTGTAACTTGAAAACATGTCCATAAATGATAACATCTCATGCCTCGCAGTGTTGTCGATCAAGGCATCTATGTTTGATAATGGAAAATTGTCCTTTGGGCATGGCGTGTTGAGGTCTCTGTAGTCAACACACACTCGGATCCTCCCGTCTTTCTTCGGTACGACCACTATGTTGGCCAACCATTCTAAGTAATCGACAGGGGTAATGAACATTGTTTTGAGCAGCTTGTCGATTTCTTCTTTAATTTTGAGCTCAAAGTGGGTCTTCTAACGTCGGAGTTTCTACCTTACAGGCTTTTTCCCTTCGTTGAATATGAGGTGATGTTGCACCAATGTGGGATCTAGTCCTGGCATATCATTGTATGATCAGGCGAAGACATCGCAATATTCTTTGAGAATGAAATCATATTTTCCAGCTCCTCAAGAGATAGAGAGGTTCCAATCTTGGTTAACCTTAGGTCCTTTTTAGTTCTTAGGTTAATGTCGATCGTCTTTTCGATGATAGTCGTTGGGTCACCATCGAACTTCTTCTTGAATTGCTCAACATGGCAAGTGAGTTCCTTAGGTTGATAGATTTCTTCAGACTCTTGGCTCTCTTGATATTCGTCGTGGTCATCCAATTCGTCATCTCGGGTATCGTGCATCGTTATCGGGCTATCTTGAGTGTTCCCTATTTTTTAAAATTCTTTTTCATTATTATCAATTTTATTATGTTTTGATTTTTTAAAGGTTTTTGAAATAGCACAAGAGGTGTCCCTTATGGGACTCACAAGATAAATGTTGGGGACTGGATGCATAGGGTGGTTAGCTGGTCACCCTGTGCCTATTCGTTTTTTGGCACTAGGACTTGAAGTGGATGAGCAATCTTGGTTGTGTTAAAGCCGATTGTGCATACCTTCAAATCTAAGTCAGCAAAAAAGTCTTCAATTCCCAGTTCTTGTGCATGTTGAGATGTGGAAGAAGAGTTGTTCCCCGTTAAGCAATTAGGTCTCACAGGGACTAAATTATCATTTGTTATATTTTTTTATCCGTAGCTCAGATTCAAGCGATTCTTAGACCGTTGGAAAGCTCTTGGGCTCTACTTCAAATTGGGATATGATTTGGGTAGTTTTGGATAATTAAATTGGGTCTACTAGGATAATGTGGTCCTAAGGATTAAAAAAGCCACATAATTTACCAGATTTAAAATGGGGTGTCTATAAGTATCACCGCATCTGTTGGAGACCTCTCAATAAAATATAATTGCCCCAGAAACAACACAATTCCCATTGATGTCTTATGGATCCTCTCCATGAGTGTCCTATTTTTCCCAAGGTATCTGGTATTTCAAAGGATTTCCCTATGTTTTCTTCCATCATGTCTTAAGTTGTCTATTTTTGTGTCATTCACCCGCTTTCCTAGGTGAATGGCCAAAGAGGGGCAACTATAGACACCCCCATAAAATTTTGGCTGAAAGAGTTCTTAGAAACCTATAGTTTTGAGCCTTAGGAGCAAACTAGGCTAATGAGCCACATACACCTGTACATGTAGTCCATAGTCTTTTGGAAATCAACGTACCCACTCTAATCCTAACAAAACCATTGGGAAACTCTAAATTGTCAATCTAATATGTGTTGGAACTGGACGAAGCACCTTAGTGGAACCCAGGCCTATAACAATTCCCCACAAACCTCCCATAAAAAAATCATTTAAATCCTTAGAAAATACTAGAAGATCCAAACTCTTTAGAAAGATCCCCATAAAATCCCTAAAAATATCTCAAAACATCCCCTTAGAAATTCGGCATCCAAAAATCTTAGAAAATATTATCACCTAAAATTAGAAACCCTAATTTCCATAGCTCTAAAAATCCAAAATTTCCCTAAAACCTTGAATTTTCCCCTCTAGGAATAAGCAACCCTATATCTAAAAATCCCTAGCAAAATCATCTAATTTTCCATAGCAAAAAGGCATACAACTCAAAGTTCTCAGCAAAACTACCAACAAAGTACGGGTGGGCAAGAAGAACAATCTGATTCAAGTCCTCAATTCTGGAATTTGAGGTTCTCAAATAAGTATGTTTCTTTCTTTTCCTTTGATTATTGATTTTCCATTTTAATTCAATTTTTCTAAGTTGAGATGATAGACGTGGCTTCTAAAAACTATTTTGGTGCAAAACTCAGCTGGAGTTGTCAGTGGTTTTAAAAAGATATTGATCTTTCAAGATTAATACTTGTTTTAGATACGTAATTTGACCGATCCCCACAATCTCTATTGATCCCCACAAGCTCACAAATCGGATGAGATTTTGTCCAAGGTCTTGTCACATGTGGCACGTAAACAGGTTCGATGTTACCAACATTGAACCGGCCTCTTTTTTTAAAATAAGAGGGAAAGCAATTTCGAATGTGTTACTTTCAAACTGCCGTTTCATACTAGAAAGTGGTGTGAAATTTGCAACCTCGAACCCCACCCCCCCTCCCCAAAAAAAAAAGTGTGGGGCGGGTATGAGATCTAAAATTGAACCCCATTCAAAATTTAAATAAAAATGATTGCTTGTATCTCTCAAAAAAAAAAAAAAAAAAAAACTACGAACTAGTGGCTTGAATATTTGATGTTTCTAGAGATTTTGGTCTCGCCTCAACCACTTACAATGCCAAAAGAACACAAACAAACATGAACTTAATCCCCTCCTATTCAACATAATATAGCTGGCTTAAAGTAAAATCAAGCAAGTACAAGCATCAAACGAAGAAAGATGAGAGGAAACTCAGAGCTTATGTAAGATGATGGGAGCTCCATGTTGAGGTTGCATAGTAATTTGAGCATAGGGTGCATGCGTATACGAGGGAGAGAGGTGGAAGGAGAAGTGTTGTAGGATCATGGTTAGTGCTATTTTGGCCTCGATTAAGGCAAAGTTTTGGCCGATGCAAGTCCTCGGTCCCCATCCGAAGGGAAAGAAGGCCAATGGATGTTTAGCAGCATTTGACACCCCATCAGAGAACCTCTCAGGCTTGAATTCCTTGGCATCATCACCCCAAAGATCGCGGTCATGATGAATTATGATAGTTGGTAGGGCCAACTGGATGCCTGGAGGAAAATCCAAGCCTCCTGCGTTTATCTTCTTATAGGTTTCTCTAACAATAAGCAGAATTGGTGGATAGAGCCTAAGAACCTCATGGAGAATCATATTTACCTGGGAAGTCACCAAATTTGTATTTTAGAACTTCACAAAATAAGATTAAGAAATAGATATTAAGAAGTCATTGAATAAAACCTTAATTCAACATATACAATGAGAGTGACTTGTAAGAAAGTGGGGCTCCCTCAACCTCAGGCTTTGGTAGACTATATGCAGTAGAGTGGCATTGACATTGTATGTTTCAAGCCTAAGTGCAAGGGAATTTTCTAACTCTTTCTATAGAAATAGAGAGTTACTATCTTGATCTCAGTATTTATTATATAATTGAATACCAGGCTGAGGTGATCAAATTCTTTTGACCCTTTTTCTCTGTATAAACCTATCTATTATGCCAAATATATATATATGCTTAACTGTCTTTCTTCTTTAGTTTAAGCCAGGGTTTAAAAGAACGAATCAGACACTGATCATTGAAGATTGGTTCGGATTCCCCCGGTACCACTCAGGTAACTGGAATGGAGTTGGCAAGTGTACCGATACAGTAAACAAAAAAATAAAGAAATAAAAAGACTCAAGGGACCTGGCAATTGAGCGTTCCCTAGAACTGGATCCTCAACAATTAGATCCAATTCGAATCGGGCGATTTCAATTCCAACCAGTGATGTTTTAAACTCTTGTTAATTCATTTAAAAACCAAATAAAATTATGTTACTTACAATTTTAAGATGGCTTAGCTGGTCTAGAGTTGGTGGTGTGGATGATCCAACTAGCTGCAAGACCTCATCCCTTGCCCTCTCTTGCCACGTCGGATGCTTCGACAAAACCACCATTGTCCAAGTCAATAGCATAGATGTGGTCTCATGGCCTGCAAAATAAAAGAGCTTGCACTCCTCCACTACATCTTCCATTGTCATTCGGTTTTTGTGGTCGTTGGTCCTATTGGACTCCAACAATAAGCCCAACAAGTCATGGCTATTATAGGTTCCACTGTTGATTGCCTCCTCTTTCCTTTGGATGATGCCTTTTAGGATGCCTCTGACCTTTTTATCAATTTTCTTTCTCCTGATGTTTTTCTTTGTTGGCAAAAACCTAGATTAACCAGTAACATAACCAATGTTCATTAAATCTTCAATTTCCTTTGTTTTCACCTTTGATATATACAAAAAATAACTATATTTGTATGATATGGAGTAAAAAAGTATGAAACAACTTAAAACTCTTGTTGGCTTTAACTTAAAACTCTTGTTGGCTTTCTTCTTCAAGGAATATGAAAAGCATATCATAAGTACAGAAAATATACTACAAAAATACAAATCCACAGAAAATGATTAAGATGGATTGCTTAGGGCCTACTATGCGCCTGGTGGCCTAGCCCAATTGTCCTGGCTCTGAATAACTAGGGCCAAAGAATTTTTCCTAAAAGTTTCGTAAGGACTGCACCACCACTGGGCTTGCGTGTTGGACCTGGCCAGGCTGGGCTTCGGGCCAGCTCAACCTGACCCTTCTTTTTGCCTTATTTTTTTTATTTTCTTTCCTTAGGTCTATAAGGCTCAGCCCACCTTGGACCGATTGAGTTCTCTAATTTATTTATTTATTTTTTTTTTTTTTGAGGAACTGTAAACTTTCTAATTTCTTATTTTCAATTTACTATATGGTTTTCTAACAATTTAAAAATTAAAAGAACCAAGTGTTTGGGCAGTCCAACTCTCGAACCTCCTAAAACACAACAAAAAAAAAAATGTTAGAGAAGTTTGAGAGTTGGACTTCGAAATTACCCAAGTAATTTTTGTTTTCTTATTTTTGATTGCTCGAGAGTTTAAATTTAAAATTAAGGGTAAAATTAGAATAAAAAACTTGAAAATTTAGACCTTGCTGTAAATGTCCAGAATAATGATTATTATAAATTTCAAAATTTATGTATCTTAAACAAAATAATGATTTGAATTTTGGAGATAATGGAGGCAGCAAATCTCTCTCCCACACTCTTAACATGTCGACACTTCCAAGACTGGTAGCAGAAACCCAAAAGTAAAATTGGCCTCTTAAAGAAAGAGGCCTTTGCTTCTAAGGAATCTCCTTAGATTAATCAATTCCTGCACCTTTGTATCGCAAAAAATTAATGTATCATTGGCATATAAAGTCTGAAGATTAATAGGGGGAAAAACTAAGATGATTGGTATAGCTCGTGATGAGGGGTGTGTGAAAATGTTTGCTGGAATAACTGGTTGTGATGTGGATATGTTTCCCATTAAATACTTGGGAAAGCCCCTGTTCGATGCTAGAGCACCAAGATATATTTGGGCTCCGGTCGTACAAAGATTTCAATATACCTTGGGTGCATGGAAATTGAAGTTCTTATACTTGGGGCGTATATTAACATTGCTGAAATCAATGTTATCGTATTTATATGTCCCTATTTTGGATGCCAACTGATGCGGCAAAGGAGTTTGAAGATGGTATGAGAAGATTTTGTTTAGGAGCTTTTTCAAAAGATATGTTCCAAGAGTGCCACAATTAGTGATATTGTATCTGGTCATGGCCAAAAAATGTTGTGGGATATTAGATGTTGGTATAGCAGGTAGACTGATATTATCCTAACTCAGGATATGCAATGTCTGCATGGTTACATGGACATTAGTATTGTCTAAATGAAGATAAGTGGTTGTTTGGGAGCTATCCAGTGAAGGAGGTTTTTCTTTCAAATATGTGTATGCTTTGCTATTTTATGGTAAAGTAACGTGTAGGGATTCTAAGCCATCAAAAGTATGGGGTCCCATACCTTTAAAAATCCAATGTTTTATTTGGATTGTTTAATGCGGAGATTGTTGACGGTTGATGTGTTGAGAAAAAGAGGTAAAATCCTCACAAATGTATGCATGTTGAGTAAAGAAGATGAAGAAATTGGTGATCATATCTTTTTGACATGCAAATATAGCATAAGGGTATGGGAAGGGGCTTTCCAAGTTGTGGAGGTACAAATGCCTCTACTATGGAAAACAGAGAATACTTTTAGTCATTTGGAGTCGATTAATTTATCCACTAGTCATCTAATAATGTGATTGTCATGAGATGTGCCGTGATTTGGAAAATATGGTATGAAATAATTAGGAGTGTGTCTGAGAATAGGAGTTTGGAACTTAGTGATATCATTTTGAAAGTGATGAGGCAAAGTAGCTGATTGGTTAATGTACAAAGTGGGGGAGATTTGTTCAATGACAAAGCCTATGACAGAGAGCTGAGCAATGATCTCCACCTTGTATAGGATTTGTTAAGCTAAATTTCGATGGCAGTAGTTTTGGCAACCATCGTCAAGTTGCGATAGGTGGATTGATTCACAATCATGAAGGGTAAGTGTCAATGCAATTTTCAGGACCAGCTGGGATTTTAACTGCAAATGAAGCTTCATGGATAGCATTGAAGCAAGGGATGGTTTATGCGAAGGAAATGGGAAGGAAATAGAAATTGAAGGTGATTCGATGGATGCTATTCATTGGTGTAGGAAGGAGGCAAGTGTGCCATGGAAATGGTAGTGTTTATGGAGGGAAGGGATGGATTTGTATGAGACAGTGAGGTTAGTTTTGAACATGTTTATAGAGAGAATAATGAGGCCACTGACTCTTTGGCAAAGCAAGAGTTGGAAGTTTTGAGGTGAGAGTTAACAAGAGCCGATTGTTTCATGTTAATTTGATTTGTGAAAACTGTATATATTATAATTGTGTTCTGTTTGAGTTATTTTTGTTAAAGTTATAGTTGCAGGGATTTATTTGTATTTTGTAGTGGGGGATATGATGTGGTCTACAATGTGCAAGAGGATTTTACATCTGAGGAAGGAAATGGATAAGATAACAAGTTAACTTTGTTAAAAAGAGCAAAAAAAAAAAGAAGGCTTGAAGTAGGGAATGTAGATGTAAAGAGAGAGAGAGAGAGTGATGACCTGTAGCCGGGAATGTAAAAGCTTCGAGCAGCTTCGATGAGAAGAGCAGCTTGCTCTCGTTGAAGTTCAAATATATGCTTCCCGTCTTCTAAGCTGCTCCCAAAAGCCGTTCTTGAGATGACATCTGCAGTTAAGTTTTGGAGCTCGGGGAGCACGTCTATCTCCCCGTGCTCCTCTTCTCCTACCAACTTCTCCCATCTTTCTATCATCTCCTTGCAACTTTGAGTAAATTGTGGTCTCATGCCCTGTAATGTGAACATGCCGAACTCAAAACAAGAAAAATAGCCTCTTCCTCTCTCCACAAAACAAAACCTCTTTCACTCTCTTATTTGGACTCGGCCAAATGACTTCTCTCGCCCAAGGTCCTAGTGCCTCGGCTGAGTCGATTTTTTAAACGCTGCTAACGTAAAGGAAAACAAAACCTCACTCTCACTTGTAGCCTCGAGGGGGAGAGGATAAAGGGGAAACGAACCTTAAGTTTTTCCAAATGGAAAGCAGGATTAATGATCCTTCTATGTCTGGCCCATTTCTCTCCTTGTTCTGCTGCCAGCCCCAATGCCAATAGCTTGATTAATTGGTCTGGAGTTGGCTTCTCGAAGTGACCATATTTGTTTGAGAGAATCTCTTTTACCAGCTCTGGTTCTGTCACTATGACCAGCGGGACCAGACCAAACCACGATAAGCAAATTTTACCTGCAAACCCACTCTCCACTGTTACAGCCTTATATCATCCTTTTTTTATAAATACTGAAAATTTAGTCCAAATTAAAGAGCTCCCATGCCTTCTTGAGGCTTTGAATCCAAATTAAAGAGCTCCCATGCCTTCTTGAGGCTTTGAATCCAAAAAAGTTTTGCCATGATTTGTCCAAGAGTTCAGAGGCTTGGCCGAGCAACTCGGCCCATGGTCAAGGTGAATTCTAAAGACCAACTTTCCCTTCTTAAAAATCAGTGCTCATGAAATCTCCTAGACCTCGGACTCCGCCCACGCCCCGGCCCGAGTTTATGGGACCAAAGCCCTAGGAAAATTTAAAAAATTGAAAAAATAATGAAAAACGAAATAAAAGTAATAAATGAAAAATAAAACTAAATAAACTTAATATATATATATATATATACACAGTAGATTTTAAAAATAATTTAATATTTAAAAATAAAAAAATAAAATTGGGGACTACGACAAAAAGCACTCACATTACAATCTCTATGGGACTACTTTATAGGAATGTTTTAAAAAAATTTATGTATTTAAATCTTAGGGCCACTCAAGCAACTTGGGCGAGACTGTGTACTCGGCGAAGTCTTGTAAAATAATTAAAATTTTTAAAAATCACTAATATATAATTTAGAAATATATTTTTATATGATTTTTGTGGCTTCACGATGATTTGGGAACATGCGATCCAATTTTTTCTTTTTCTCTTATTTTTATTTTATTTTTCTGAAGTATTAAGCAAAAATTTCAATAAACCATCTTTTATGAACTCTTTTCATATATTATTGACTTTTAAATATGTTTCTATTACTTATTGTAGTATTTGCAATTTTTAATATTTTTTTAAAAAAATTCATTTTCCTCTTTTCTGAATTTTTGGGCATGTTTTATCATTGGACAAACTCAGGTGGTAACCATTGTACATTGTCTATACATTAACTAAGCCAGCAGAAACTTGAATGGCGAAATTGAATGAAGATAGTCAAAATAGAAACGTAAATGAGATGCTTCGGACTAGGCTGTCAACGGGCTGGTGCGCGCCAGGCCCAACGCCAGGTAAAACCCTAAACTGTTCAGGCCGGCCTAGAATGTAGCAGTGAAGTCCGCCAGGCCCTTTAAGACTCTATTGGCCTGTCCAGGGCCGGCCCATTAAGAAGCCTTTTTTTTCTTTTTGTTTCTCTTTTGTTTTTTTTTTACCTCACTCTTCATGGCAGTAAGCCAAAAAAAATATATATATATAGGCTAGAATATTTTTTAGAGAGAAAGAGAGATTGGTTCCTAGAGAGAGTTTTAGAGATGGAGAGATTTGGTTTTTAGAGAGAGAAAGAGAGATTCGGATTCTAGAGAGAGTATGGGTTTATAGAGAGAGAAAGAGGGATTGGGTGTTTAGAAAGAGAATGAAATATTGGGTTTTTAGAGGGAGGAGCATAAGTTTTTTGAGAGATATTAGGTTCTTAGAGGGAGAATGGGCTTTTAGAAATAGTAAGAGAGAGTGGGTTTTTAGAGAGAGAGATTTGAGTTTTTAGATAGAGGATTGAGTTTTGAGAGATAGAAAGAAAGATTGAGTTTTTAGAAAAAGAACAGGTTTTAAATAGAGAGATTGGATTTCTAGAGAGAATAGGTTTTTATAGAGAGAAAAGAGATTAGATTTCTAAAGAGAAAAATGATTTTTAGAGAGATAAAGAGAGATTAGGTTTTGAGAAAGAGATGTTGGCTTTTTAGCTAGAGAGAATGAGATCTTAGAGAGAAAAAAATAGATTGGGTTTCTAGAGAAAGAGAATGAGTTTTAAATTTTCAAAAATATATTTTTAACATCTATTTATTTTATTTTATTTTGGCTTACGGCAAACAAGAAAATTTTAAAGAGTGAATATTTATAAAAAAAATTCTAAATGGGCTAGGCTGGGCTTGTTGGGTCTGGTCGCATGTTCGGGCTTATCGGGCCAGCCGGGCCCTTTACATGCCAATTTGGCCTGCCTTGTTAAATAATATTGGCGCCCAGCCCGAACCCGAGATTAGGCCTGAGAGCGGTTCAAAAATAGCTCTCAAGTTCCCTATTTCCATTTTCTAATTATCATGAAAAAATAAGTCCTATAAATTTAAAACTAGAAATAAATTATCTCGCATCAACGCAAATTAGCCCCACTTCAGAAAATCGCTTCTGACACCATGTTTTTAATGTTCCTATCTTTTGAACAATTTTCATGCTAAATTTATTCATTGAACTTCAAATATGTTAAG